TTTATTTTTAAACCATGTACATGTACATTTGTATTTTTCTTTATCATTTTTTAAATTATCAATCAATTGAATAATTCATAAAATCTAATTTGTAACTTTGAATAATTCCTCGGCATCTTTACTAAACACGGATAACAAATTAAATAAAATGTTTCAAAGTTGATAATGTCATTTTAATACCATAAAAATGTACCTTTTTCTCAATTATTGTACATATTTATTGTTTTTATCTCATATAGATAAAATGAAACATGCTATTGTTGTTGTTTTTTTTCTAATTGTAACGATATCAAACATCTACTCCAAAACCGAGAGAGGCCGGACAATAAACGTGTGGTACTATTCGCCGGTCACTAGTAAATCCCGGTCAAAATAGACCGGGAGAGAGCGGTAATTACCGATAGGAGTGATAAATAGATATATCTATAAATAGATTTTTGGAATATTTAGGTCATCAACTGATCTTTCTAGGATACATGTACAACAATAACATACCATGATAACCCACTGTGTACTACAAAATGATAAATAAAAAACCCCGAAGAGCGCGATTTATTGACGGAAAGGGTTATTTCATTTGAAAATGTTTGCATTGCGAAATTCTCCAGTTCGCTATTCATTGTAACATATCGCGACATTTCATTCTTAATTAATAATCAAGCACCCTCATACCGATCGGAATGATCGGCTTTTATTATGACCGACTAAAAGGCTCGAGAAGTTGCTGTCGCCCTTTCACAAAATCTGATTTCATTCCATAAGGGCGCCGCGCTTCGGCGCGGACGCCAATGAATAATTGACATGAATGAACTTAAATCTTATTGAGTTTTAAGTTTGATTATATCATAGTAATGTGTTAAGTTTCCCTACATAGTTGGGAAATTATGTTTATACAACAGATAATCTAAAGGTCCGATTTTCTCTTGATGAATAAATATAACTAATGTTTCAACTTTTCTCTAATTTAAGTAAATTTGTTGGAAAAAATCTTTAAAAGTGATCTCAGGAAACAGTTTTATAAACAGACAGACAGACAGACAAACAAACAAACATACAGACTGACTGAAAGCGACTCTTAAGTTGTTGTTTTTTAAATATCCCTGTTACTAACATTTAACATTTTATAAAGCAAAATTCTTAAAGAGGAGATAACTCTTGAAATAAAGATGCTAGATTTATGAACATGTCATATATGATGTGAGTGTAACAAAGAACAATTATTTTAAGTTTAAAGATACCATCTATAGTCACAAAGAAGAAAAGTAAAAAAAATAAAGGAATAAATATTAATTTAGGTATTTTGAATTTGAAGTAAATTCATGAAGAAATAAGAAAGTTTCAGAAATAAGAAAGTTTCAGAAATAATAAGAAAAATTCGAAGTTTAAGGAGGAGATAATTCTGGAAAAATGGATTCTAGATTTATAAACCTTGTCATATTATTATGATGTCGGAGTTTGGTGTAAATCCTTTAAGGAATGAAGAAGTTGGAGTAAAAAAATACAAATTTCTCAAAAGTTCAAGGAAGACATAATTCTAGAAATAGTCTTGTTAGAGTATAGAACCTTCTCAACAAATGTTGAGTGATAATAAAAAACATATATATGAAGTTTGAAGAAATATATAACACTAAGAAATAAAAAAGCTATTAATAAAAACATTTTTTTTTCATAAAAATTATCTGTTCAAGGGAGGTAATTCTGGTGATTTTTGTGCTAGAGTTGTAAACCTTGTCACATATGATGTGGTTTATGACCAGAAACTTATATTTAAAGTTTAACGTAAATACCATAAGAAATAAAGACCTGAAGGTGAAAAGGCGTAAAAGCTAAAATCAGAAATCTTGAAATTCAGTCTATTTGTTGCCAAAGCAACCAGAATTTTCAACATAGGGAGAAAAGAAAATGTTGTGCATAATCTCCAGACCGCATCTTCACATATTTCAAGTTTCATAACCATATTTTCAGTACTTTTTGCGTTATCAATGTATCCAGTTTATGTGTAAAATTCGCCATCTTTTCCGTATATTTATTGCTGTGGCAACCAGAATTTTCAACATAGGAAGGATGAAAAAAAACGTGCACAATCTCCATACTGCCATTTATTCATACATCAAGTTTCATAAAAATATTTTCAGTACTTTCTTCATTATCGCGGGATCCAGTTTTGTGGACGAACTGACAGACGGACAGACAGACAGACAGACGGAAGGAGGGTAAACCTAAAGTCCCATCTGGTTAAACCGGTAGGGTACGACCAAGCTTTTGCTTTTTTAGCAACTGTGACCTAGTTTTTGACCTAAGATAACCAATCTTCGAACTTGACCTGGAAATCATTAAAACAACCCTCCTGAAAAATTTTCAAAATATTTGGATTAAAACTGCAGCCACTAAAGTGTTAACAAGATTTTTTTTATTTTTAGCTCCATTGACCTAAGTTTTGACCAAAGATGACCCATATTCGATCTTGACCTAGAAATCATCAAAACAACCTTCCAAGCCAATATTCCGGATATTTGGAACAAAACTGCAGCCACTAAAGTGTTAACACGAGATTTTTCTATTTTTCGCTCCCTTGACCTAGTTTTTGACCGGAGATGACCCATATTCAAACTTGTTCTAGAAATCAACCTTCCTGACAAATTTCCAGGATATTTGGATTAAAAATGCAGCCACTAGAGTGTTAACATTTTTTTTCTATTTTTAACTCCTGTGACGTAGATTTTCACCCGAGAGGACCCATCTTCGAACTTGGCCTGTATTTTTATTGAATAAAACATTCTTACAAAGTTTGATGAAGATCCAATCAAAACTGTGACTGCTAAAGTGTTAACAACCAAATTGTGACGACGAGCGACACAAAACGCATGACGACGGACGCCGGACATATGACCATCACTATACGTCTCCTTGACCACTTCGTGGTCAGGTGAGCTAAAAACAAATTAACTTTGGCTGGGCAAATTCTGATTCCAGGGATATAATTTGAAAATCTTGGATAATTTGCATAATTTTGGTCCAAAAGACTATGTTTCATGTTTAATATCGTAAGATAGAGACCTTGAAGTTCAAGGAGATTTCTGAAGTGCTTAATATGTAAGATTAGTCATGACACGCTTGGCCAGGGCAAATTGTGACCAAAGGGCTTTAGTTTGAATAAACTAAGTAGAAGCCTACAGGAAAATGTCACATTTTGTCACATTGTTTTAGAGAAGACGTTTTTAAATGTTTTTACTACATGCGAGTATATATATATGTCCCCTTGGGACAGGACCAAATAGCGTGAGCACGGAGCGAAACACGCTTATAGCTGGCTGGAATGCGGGGCGAAATCCAATTAATAAAATGTCGACCCGCGGGGGCGCAGGGCGAGATTTAGGAAAACTATTCTTGAAGCATTCAAACTAGGTCACAGTGGCTAAAAATAGATTTCTAGGTCAAGTCAAATAAAGGTTGTCTCGGGTCAAGTACTAGGTCACAGGGACTAAAAATAGAAAAATCTTGTTATCACTCTAGTGGCTGCACTTTTGATCTAGATATTTTGGACATTTTTCAGAAAGGTTGTTTTGATGATTTCTAGGTCAAGTCAAATATGGGTTGTCTCGGGTCAAGTACTAGGTCACAGGGATTAAGAATAGAAAAGTCTTGTTTTCACTCTAGTGGCTGCTGTTTTGATCCAAGTATTCTGAAAATTGGTCAGGAAGGTTGTTCTGATAAATTCTAGGTCACAGTCGAATATGGGTCATCTCCGGTAAAAAAACTAGGTCACAGGAGTTAAAAATAGAAAAATCTTGTTAACACTTTAGTGGCTGCAGTTTTGATCAAAATATTTTGAAAATTTGTCAGGAAGGTTGTTTTGATGATTTCTACGACAGGTTCTAATATAAGTATTCACCGGTCAAATACTTAGTCACAGGGGATAAAATTTTAACAAAAATTCTTGTTAACTCTCTAGTGGCTGCAGTTTTAATCCAACTATCCTGGAAAATTGTCAGGAAGGTTGTTTTGATGATTTCTAAGTCAATTTTAATATGGGTCATCTCCGGTCAAACAGTAGGTCACAGGAGCTAAAATTAAAAATCTTGGTAACACTAGTGGCTGAAGTTTTGATCAAAATATTTTGTAAATTGGTCAGAAAGATTGTTTTGATGATTTCTAGATTAAGTTTGAATGAGTCATCTTCGATCAAAAACTAGGTCGCAGAGCCTAGATATAGAAATATCTTGTTAACACTCTACTGGCTGGTGATTGGATCTATATTTCCTGGAAATTGATCAGGAAGGTTGTTTAATGATTTCTATGTCAAGTTTGACTATGGATCATCTTGTGTCAAAAACTAGGTCACACTGCCCAAACATGGAAAAACCTTGTTAATACTCTAATGGTAACTTTTTGTCTCAATTCTCATCAAACTTGGACAGGATGCTTGTCTAGTTAATTGCTTGGAGGAGTTCGAGTATTGGTATTTCTGATGAAAAACTAGGTCACATGAGCTTAAAAGAGAAAATCTTTTGAACTCTCTAGTGGCCAAATATCCTCAAAATTGGTCTGCAAGTTTGTTTTGATGATTTCTAGGTCAACTTTGAATATGGGTTACCTGGGGTCAAAAGCTAGGTCACACTGCCAAAATGTGGAAAACCTTATTAACACACTAAAGGTCATATTTTTTACTCAACTTGGTTATGATGCTTGTCTTAGACGGATGTGGTTGATGGGTCAGGGGAGCGATCTAGGGCCATCTTGGCATCTTGGCCCTCTTGTTATATGAATATGGTAAAAGTTTATTAAATCAATGCGACAAACTTACAAGTTATAGATTAGTTATATATTATTGAAAATACAGCATTCTTTTAAATTTCGATACAGCTACGTAAATGTCTAAATATTTTTTCAAGTCGCATATTCTCCTTTTATTGTACTGTTTACTTTTATCTATTTCGAGATACGACAAAAGATTGTGTTATACCTGATTCTGTTATCTTTCAGATCATTAAACCAAAAGTGATAGGCAGATAGCAAAATGTACTTTCAAATCTAATTGACATGCGTGTAATAAAGGATTCATGAGTCAAACCTATTTTAAAGAAAGGTTTTTAACACCTGTTGAAATCAATCATGTCATTATGGAACCGTAAGTTTTTCTTAGTTTTTTTAGGCTGCTGAAACAAAACAATTATCGTATCGTTGCATAAAGGATGCACATATTTACATCTCACGTTTGTTTAACGTTTTTTTATCTATACGTTCTTTTCAGTTTCATTTTTGTTTGTTTCGGGTTTTTTGTCTTATATCTATGATTAACGAGCATTTACCTTGAATTATAGCATATAACTGGTTTCGATCAAAAGTCTGGAGGACACACAAAGATTTGGGTGGAAAATTTAACGGATGGAACACCGAGGTATGTTAAATCTCATACTTTACTTCTATATTGTATCAAATTTTTGTTCTTATTATATAGTTATTATTGTTACAGTTATTGACGTGATAATAGATTTAAAGCAAGCATATGATTTCACGTATCGTTTCGTTACAGTACGAAAACTTTTAAGATTCTTTGATAACAATGAAACACTAACAAAAAGTTGCAAATTGCAAATTTGGTTTTGAAGAATTTGTTTTCTTTGAGCAGTACATGTATACAAGTTTAGAATTATTGATCCCCGAAGGAAAGTAATGTATGAAACATGCTACATTGACGATGTACGATGTACGATGTACGATGAAGTATGTTTTATGTTAGCCGCACAGTAAGTTTTACTTCAAACATGGACTGGTTTTCAAATTTATTTTATTTTGACGTCTGCACTGTACGCAGGCTTGACAACCTCTGATCCCCTTTAAAAAAAAACTTTATTTTGTTCCAGTCACTGATTTCTCCTTTAGAGCAAGTGCATTATATTACTATGAACCATAGGCCACTTTTCATGAAATGTGTCTAATCGGATATAATTTGAGCACCACAGTTTGAGCCATGTGGAAGTTCTTTAATTCAAAGTTTTACCATTATTATGAGTGAATAAAAAGTTCAGCTTAATTATATACATAAGGGGGGTTGGGGCGTGAACGGAAGTTTTGTGCTTAAAAATACCGTCCATGAAATCGCTCACTCGAAGCGATCCTGCAACATGTTCTATTATGCCGTTTTAAACAATGATTCTTTTTCCTAAATTTTTGAAAGACTGGAAACAGTAAATTAACCAACTGTTGCATATCTCATACATCGGCTAAGCACGGGGGAGGAACTGTTACACGAAGGATGGAGTTCTCATGATAACTTGTCAATGAGTTCTTGTGATAACTGTCACGGATTTAGTCGGAAAACTATTGTATATACATTGTACTGCAAAATCACACGTTAAAATGGTAATTTTCATCTTTAAAAAGTGAGTTTTAGGTGCTAAATTACACGTTATCGATTGAGCTTGCCTTACATATTGTATTCAGAGTCCATTTTTCATCGCCTCTTGCTTAAATTCTGGTAGTTTTGAGTAAAATGTCCATATCATTTGCCAAATTTTTCAAATGTCCCGGAGTTCTTGTGATAACTTATGTAGTGCCAATGTATCTCTTGTGCTAAATCACGGCACTTTTTAGCTTTTTTATTATTCAATAAAATCATCTCAGATGAGAAATATGGTAATGTCACTTGTCCGTGCGTCCGTCCGTGGGACCGTACAACGACTCGGCCGAATCATGGACGGAATTGTTTCAAACTCTCGGGGATACGAGTAGCTACTATATTCGAAGCCCAGCCTCTGTCTTCATTTTCTACAAATGACAACGTCTAGGGATATGTCAATCGACTGCAGTCCTTGTTTGTTATTATTAGCTCGACTAAACGAAGTAAATGGAGAGCTGCCCTACTCGCCCCGTCGTACGCGTCCAAATATAAGATTAAAGTTTTGGTGCAGTAAAATATTTTTCACTTTGACTTTTTTTATTTCTAAAGGTATCAACTTAATAATTCCAAATATATGTTCCTTATCATCAACCACATCTTATGTGACAAGGTTCATAACTCTAGTACCAATATTTTTAGATTTATCTCCCCTTGAAATTAAAATTTTCCTTAAAAAATATTTTTTTTACTGTACTTCTTTATTTCGTTAGGGATTAACTTCGAACTGCAAATATATGTTCCTTATCATTAACCACATCTTATGTGAACAGGTACATAACTCTTGCACCAATTGAACGTTTCCTTAAAAAATATTTTTTTTACTGTTACTTCCTTATTAATTATTAACAAGGTTCATATCTCTAGACCAATATTTCCATAATTATCTCCCCATGAACTTTGGTTCTTTTACTTGAACAAAATGTTATTTTGTTTAAAAGGTATCTACTTCAAACTTTTTTCTTTCATAGTTTTTTCTTCCTTAATGCGTCCAGTATTTAATTAGTTGAGCTTTGCTGTCTCCTGTAACAGCTCTTGTTTTAAACTTACGATTGATACGCTTAAAGTATATAAAACTGTTAGACAATATTCACTGCGGTATACCGTACCCCGGATATTGCTCGATATTATGAGGACTTTCATCCCATTTCGCGACTTTGAAGGAAGAAAGAAGGTATGTTTAGTGACGATATTTAGTCATTTTGAATTGGTTTGATATAAATTTTGTAGAAAAACAAATACTTCGATAATTTTTCTAGTTACTGAAACCCCAAAAATGTTGAGAAATAGCTTTGAAATGTAATTAGGAAGTAAAATTCGTCTCTTTGCTCACGTGATAAATCAGCTCGGATCAGTCGAATTTGATGTTTTTGTGCATATACTTCCTTAAAAGAAAAACTTGAATCGAGTAAAATGTGATAATAATGATAATGTTTATGTTGTAAATGTTCAATCAACAATAGAACCTCAGATGACTGTGCATTTTTAGAATAAATACACATGTTAGTGTACCGAGTATTGCGTTAAAGTTGCCCGCCGGTGTCACGAGTATTGCTTTTTAGTGTAACGAGTATTGGTTATCAATGACAAGTAAATGCAAGTAGTAAACACAAAGTATTTACCACATTTAATTTTAAATATTTCTTACTGTGTATACTTATTTACATTATATGTGCAGAATATGCAGAATTCGGAGGTACTTTACTGGAAACATCTGCGAATATTCCAGATTATCATTCCTGCTCGTGAAAAATCTCAGCCGAACGAACTCAGCAATTTTCTGTGTTTAAAATATTCTCGTTGCTATCGAAGGATCAACCTTTCCAGACTTTGTTAATAATTATTGCATATCTTACTTTAAATAGTAAAAAAATGCATCCAAAGTGCATTAATACTGCCTCAAGATTGTCAATATTAGACGGAATTGAGCAAGTGTGCCAATATCTTATATCAACCGACTTCCTACTATGCCAAAAATCCATATAAAGGTAACTTAGGGCATTTTGTACCTGCACTCTAGCAACGGCAGACCCTCTGTACGTGAAATTTTGTTACGCCATTAGCAATGAGTTACCGTATGACTGCCGAGCGGGTACAGCTCAAAAAACCGAATAATAGATTTTGATAAGATTATGATAAAGGGGCCAGCAGATGCAATAAAAAAGGTTATGTTCCTTATAACTTTTTACCTCTTAAAGGCTTGTTTTGAAGGCTTTATACCCCCACCCCTTTTGAGGCCTCAAATAGTGCAAAACATGCGCTATTTAGGCCCCAAACACGTTTCGTTTGAGAAATGTTGTTCAGAAGAGTGATCACTTTTTCGGCGCCACCCCATTAAAAAGTACATCAAGGGGGTTACACAGGGGGGGGGGGGATGTTCCCCCTTCTGTTTTGGGGTTTGAAGTGGGGCAGTAGCCCCTCTAATCGCCGAGAAGACTTGGACTTGTGGGGGGCTAAAAGGCCTCAGGTCGATTTAAAGGTACCGTTTAATTTATCTCAATCAATTGAGAAGTTTGTGCACCTTGAAATCAGTTTTGATGGGAAAAAACAACGCAATTTTTTTTTTTGGCAATTTTGAGACGCCCCCCCCCCCCCCACCTTGTTGCCATGGTAACTGGAAATTTTAAATTGAGCATCCTATTCCACAGGCTATGGTCCAGCTAACATTTGTGCCCAGTTTGATCAGTATTGAAGCATTTTTATAGTTTCATTGCAGTTTGAACTTGTAACAAAAGGCTTAACTATAATACAATGAAAACAGCCATTTTTCGCATTATGCTCATGCAGTAAAAGGTTAAGACGATACCGGCATGCTTGGACGGCATAAGCCCTCGGGCCAATATTTTATGAAGTGCGTCGATATGTTTCTTAAGGCAAACTTGCCCTGTAAAAACCTATTATTAATGTCATCTAAATATGTTTTTTTTATTCTTGTCCATTTCAGAGATGGGTCTCCTTGATCAAAGTTTCTTGAGACATGTATTTAAAGTTTTTTATCGTCAATTTTGATGTTTCTACCCTGCTTCCTGCACACACTTTATTTAATCCATAGTGTGATTTTCAACCAAATTGGAAATTAAATCTCTGTATTTGCCCGTATGAAAAGAACAGTAATAACACTGAAAATGCACTGTTGAATCTGAAATATTTAAATAAATATCATATAAACAGTACATTATCAGAAAAATGAAATTGAATCGATAACCAGACGTGAAAATTAGACAAAAATATCGAGTTTCCATATTAATGTGCTCATTCTGTTTTGCAATACTCTGTACACTAAAGTTTGGCTATTTTGCAATACCCTGTACACTTAAAATCAATACTCGGTACACTTTCTTGTATCTTTTTTGGCCTGTATCTTTTTGAACTTTCACACTTTTTGCCTGAAATTCGGACAAGGCATACTTGGATTGTGAATAAAAAAATAACTCTATTCAATTTTTTTTATATTTGTAATATAATAATTTCTAACGATTCTACAGTATCGCGGTCAGTATTTTCTAGTGAGCAGCGGATCGTTTAGGGGTAGTTTAATCAATTTTACAAATACCTGTAATACTTTTACGTCTTTTAGAGTTACAAAAATACCTCTAGATATATAAAACCCGTTTAGATAAATGGAATAGCCATTAGTTTGGAAAATATCGTCGCTGAACTTACCTTCGTTCCCCGTTCAAAATCGCGAAATGGGATGAAAGTCCTCATAATATCGAGCAATATCCGGGGTACGGTATACCGCAGTGATATTGCAATTTAAAATGTTCGGAATGAATAATAATAACCTGATTAACAACCATAATTATTTATATATCTGTTTGACATTCGAAGATATCAAACTGATGATTACATTATTGTTACCATAGATACATATCTAAAGAGTTCACTTAGACATACATGTACTTATTTTTATGCATAAAACAATAACAACGTAAATCATTGGCACAAATGATAATACTGACATAATCAATTTATTTGGCACTTACAACTGTATAAACTCGACAGAATAGGAAAGATAATACGAATTTTAATATGTTTAGCTTGAAAAAAAAAAACAGCATATAAACAATGTTCAAAACAATATTTCATATGTTTGACTTTCTGATGTTTCATTGCCTTTGGGTTCATTTACTGAGCTCTTTCCAAATATGGCTTAACATATGCTTTCTGAATAAATGTCTAAACAATTATAATACCGCTTATAATATCGCTTTATTTAACTGTATTTCACTTATAAAAAGTTCATAATTATCGTGTAAAATGCGAATTAACAATAAATACTAAATCTATGATGATTTAAAAGATGAATATCAAAATACGTATGTAAAACGTTTATCCGCAAAAACATATGACTGTAAACTTTAGGGATAACAGTTATGATAAACGAACAATACAACGAATAAACCTATCGAGGAATGTCTTTTTCTTCCTCCTATTTGTAAATATTTACCTAAAAAGAACATGCTTTTAAGTATTTGCCTTTATCCTTTCTCATAAAAACAATGGCGGAGAATGTGCCAAATAACCGCAAAGAACGCTCAACATTTTTATAGGGGCTCCTTCATCTCCCTCACATATATATGAAAGTATAATATGATAACAGTCGACAATTTAATTACAATAACAATTTAAACAAAATATGCCGTACTATTCAGCTTTTTTTTTAACTCTTAGCATATCTTGTTAATTTGACATTAACTTAAATTTCAGACAGAAAATAAGCTGAAGATTGACATCGAGAAGACAGTGGGTGGAGAGCCATTAAATATTTTGCTCGTAGGTGCTGCAAGTAACGGAAAATCTTCTACAATTAACTCGATCTTCTCAATAATGAATGGACGCATATCATGTCGTTCTAACGCTGGTAGCCTTGGAGAGTCATTTACCATTAAGGTTATCCTTTCACGATTTCAAATTATTTTATCATTTTTAAATGTTTTACTTGAAGTTGTCATGTTGTCATATGAGTGGATATACCTGTAAAGTTTTATTATATTTGCATAGAAAGTCTGGTAAATCTTTAAAAATAAACTGTCTAGTTCAATTATTTACCAAAAAGTTTTCTACAAATTGCCAAAGATATACATAAACTCTGTTATTTACTCTGTTAATATAAGTTGTTAATTACTTCGGGTATTTCTCGCATTGCATTACTCCAGTCGTTATGCTACGAAAATGTATTGACGTTGTTCATATACATATACATAAGATAAGTCTTTGATTATGTTAAGATGTTTATGCATTGTACAATAAGTTAAAAAAATGGAAAATAACACGAGCTTACTTCAAAGTAGTTTTTATTATAACTCACGTAAAGATTTAACTATATAGATAATGTGACGTCACATGGTGTTATTTTGATCTATCATCTCTGGAAATGAAAAACATCCGGTCAATAATGTTTTCCAATTTCTTCCAAGGGCGAATAATCTATATAGATTGAAGAAAACGTAATGCTCTACTTTTCTCCCCTGGCCACTCTGCTCTACGTGCCTTAGATGCTTGCAATAGCACTGTTGTACAGCGTTCACCGGAAAAAAAACCCATCAAAACAGTAAATTGAAAGTAAAAAGGTTTTCAAATTATATTATTATTTGTAATAACTGTTCAATCAAAACATCTTATAAAACTATAACAAACCTTTTTTCCGATATGCCAAATTCTCCAATCCAAAATGAAAGTACACATGTATAAACGGAAGCATTCGTATGGAGTATTTTCATTGGTCGTGTGAAAACCTTAGACCAATGAAAATACTCCGTACAAAAAATTAAGAGGAGGGCACTCTGTAGAAGTATTACATGCATTATAATTTGGAATTTAACATATAGGAAAAAAAGGTTTGTTATAGTTTTATAAGATGTTTTGATTGAACAGTTATTACAAATAATAATAAAATTTGATCATATTTATATGCGCAATACAATGAAATATTCATTCATTTCGAATAAACTGCCGTTTAGTCGGGTAATTTTGAAGGTCAGATCTCTGTCGAGTTACACTTGCGGTGACTTTGAGATTACACATCTTCTGATAACTTGAAATGATCGTAATGACAGCTTTATTTCCTTTAAGAGTAATCAATTCCCTACCATTTGGTACCAAGATATTGAAAATTGGTGAAAAAATGTTGAAGTTATGGAGTTCATATTTAGATGAGTGCTGAAAATTGAGCGGCGAGTTGCGTACCTTTACTAAATATATATGTATCAATTTTTTATTTTTTGTAGGAAATGAAGGTTATTGAATTAAAAGCATAAACCAAATATGAAAACATGTTTCAAATGAAAAATACTGTATTTTACATGGTTTTGAGAGGTAGGAGGGCTGTAGAGTGGGTGTGGGGTGAGGGGGGTGCGGGGGTAGTGACCAATCAACGCGCCGAACACCTATGGATACGATTTAGTATATTAATAAAGGGATATAATGATCTTAAACCTTTCTTTTTTAAGATTGGCAGATTGAAATTGCCAAATTTTTGTGTAACTTAATAAGATATTATATAAAAAGGATGGTCAAATGAATAAAATAATATTATTATCGACCATAATAAGGTTAACGATTTGTTTTAATACTAGACCATATAGATGGGTAACTTATTTACCATTTTCGTTTGATTCTAAAAAATGAAAATTGTCGCACCGTGTTTTACCAGGCAATTACATTGTACTAACTTGATGATACCAGATATCTATGCCTCTGCGAATATACAGTACCCAAGAGTTTTTAAGTTTTTAATATTTTGAGTTTTTCTGTAGTTTCGACAAACGGCTGCGTAATAAATAGTTGCAAGATACTGGTTGATTAAAAATTACTAATATTTAAGCATTACTCAGACAAAGAAAAACAGTAATATAAATCTATACAGTAACAAAAAAAATGTTCAGGCATAGAAAGTTAAATTCTTTTGAATGTACACGACTGTATATTATTTGTGTCGGCAAACAAACACTCTAAAGAAATCGTACATCCGCCAATTATATTAAAGCTGGTAAAGTGCTATTTTCAACTTGATATTTATTTATTTAATTCTTAATCTGCTTATTAAATACTTGTTTTAAAAAATCATAAAAAAAACAAGTTGTGAAATACGTACACAGAAATTCGTTATTAAATGAATTATAATTTTATGTATTTTTTAGTGTGACCACTAGAGTCCCTAGGATGATCCATAACCAGATTCGGATCATAAATATTTTGACATCTAACAAAAGTGACGTAATCTGATGCAATGTTATAACTCTAAAATATGCACCCTAGTGATTTTTAATCATAAATTATGATATCACAGCCAACACCGTGTATATACAGTTACGCCGGAATGTGAAAATAACGCACGATTCGTGCAATAAGTAACGCAGAATTGAACAATAAATGGCGGATACCTGACAAGATTTCCAACGCGGTAAGAAAACTGGCCAATATGTTTTTTATTTAACAGAACTGAAAAAAAAAACAATAGCTGCATACGGCTGCTTTATCCCTAATCAAGACTATTTCTACGGAATTGTTTACTTTTCAAGATTATTCGTGAAAATGATGACTTGACCACCGTTTTGCCGGCTCTTATAAGTACAATAATGCAAATTATTCCGTATAATTTCGATTAGGCAAGTCACATAAACCTAACTTCTTGTGATATAGAAAATTGAAAATAAACTGATAAAACGTGATTCAAGCCGTTTTTATGGTAACGCCGATGTACGTAAATTGTGCTTCGCGGTAACGCCGGAAAATGTGATATTTTTTTCTTATATGCTACAGAATTATTACACAGGTTTAACGCCTTTTTATCGGCGAATATAATCGAGTTATTTGCGACCTATAGTCAATGTATTTTCTTCGTAACTTATTAAGAAATATATGATAATTAGATCTTGACAAACTTTCAACATTTTGATTGCATATTGTAACTTAGTACAATCTGACCATTGTTTCCTGAAATTAAATTATTATTTATGCATGTTGCCCACATCTGATCTTGTTAGAAAATGAGAGCAATAAACTTAGTTTGCAAATAAATTGAATATAAAAATATTAGAACAAAATCCAGAGAAGAAGTGTATGTATATATTATACCTGAAATAATGGACCAGTAAAGCTTGAAAGTCTCCATATTTTCTTTATTGTGTTGGTGTTATGTGAAACTCAACCAAAACAAACATTTGGCTGTAGCAATTTGCCTGGTGAACTCCTGTGAAAAATGGATTATTTATTTAATTTATTTTTTCTCTTATAAGGAAGTAACTTGTATTCAAAAGATATTTTACTTAGAAACTATATGGCTCAAACTTGTAAAAGCATAACCTTATTGTCCTCTGCTAAAGTAAATGAATTATAACTCTTGGGGTAAAGATATACACTCCTCTTATGGTTTCTTATTATATGTTAACTTGTATGGGAAAAACATATGAATCTACCGTAAGAGTTTATGCTAGGCATTACTATAGACGTTTACAAAACTAACTAAAATTTTCACGCATTGCTTCGTACTCACTTCATCAAAGACTTATATTAGGAAGCTTACAGCTCTGTGGTTCCAGGGACGGATTCGAGACTGTGTCTTTTTTCTACGCAATCAAACTAAAATAAATTCTGTATAAAACAAATTAAAGTTTCCCTACAAAAAAATATTTGAAAAGTGCTGATACTAGCGGTATTACCGCGAAGCACTATTCACGTACATCGGCGTTACCTCATAAAAACGACTTAAATCCCACTTCATCAGCTTATTTCAATTTTCTATATTACCAGAATTTTAGTAAATGTCACTTGCCTACTTAAAATCGAAGTTATACTGTGTAAAAAGCATTGTTGTACTTATAAAAGAGTCGAGAAAAAGCCAAAATCTCGCTCAAAACGAGTCAAGTCATCATTTTCACGAATGATTTTGAAAAGTAAACAATTTCGTGAAAATAATGTTGATGAGGGATAAAGGGTAATGTATTCGCAGCCGTATGCAGCTATTCATTTGTTTCAGTTCGGTTAAATAAAAAATATATTGGCCAGTTTTCTTACCGAGTTGGAAATCCTGTCAGGTATCCGCCATTTATTGCACAAGTCTGCTTTACTTATTGCACGAATCGTGCGTTATTTTCACATTCCGGCGTTACTGGATATACATGGTGGTCAAGTGCCGCTTGTATAATAAACAACATATGCACCTTGTTAATGATATGTTACGGCCCATTGGCGCTTATATATACACATCTATTTATTTATAAAATAAGTTCCAGGAAAAAGTCTTTATTTTCATAATCATATGAATAGATTTGTAAAATCAAAATTATCTTTTTATCATCTGTTGCAAATCTTACCCTATAAAAGTCATTGCCACATGGTTTTCGTTATCTCAGGCATTTTTTATAAAATTATGCCCTTCACTGGTTCTTTGAACGATTTTTTTACATGGCATAATGAAAAAGAATTCACAAGTGTTGACAGAAAACATTCTGCTATTATTCTATTAAAGCTTGAAAAACAATCATTAAAAAAGTCTTATTTTTATGTTTGTCACAAAAACACGGAATTTTCTAAATGACAGAAAATCACACAGAAAACTAGAAAATGTCCAAGTAAATTTATATTAGGTTATTTCACTGTGTATGGGTGTTTATAAAATATTAAAGTTTGATTAGGTTACTGGCATTAGAGAAAATCTAATAGATAATAATTATATTCAATTTGAATGTCTGATGTTTAACCCCGTAGCAAGAATTAATCTGAATCTTTGTTTTTGTATTTTTTATTTTGTATTCTTGATATGAAATTTATGTATGCATAAGTCAAATTTTTCATGTTATAATCGTAATTTACGATCAGTATTTACGTATTTAACTTTTAATAAGCTAACACTTTACGCGGTTTACGTCACATCCGGTAAGGGAATATCTCTTCCTAGACGCTTTTCGCTTGAATGAAAGGGTCTATATGTGTATACAGTATTTCGATAGAGCGGAAGTCAGTGTACGAGCATGCGCTTTGCCACATCTCGTTCAGTTACCGTTTACGTTTTAAATGTGGCTACTACAAAGCGCGTCAAAGATCATTTTTCGCAAATTTTGCTGAAAGGAGCTAAATTTGATGGATGACCACTCAAATACAAATAAAGCAATTTTTGTATTAAAATAGGCGGATTTTGATACATAAAAAAATGCTTTTGGGCTTGATTTAGTGGTAAGTATCAACATCGTTCGCAAATTTCAGTGAATCGGCTACAGTTTCTCGCCAGTTTAATAAAGAAAAATCTGTTTGCGGAAAAAAGTAAATACTGTTCTAAAACCAGATATATTTAGCTTCACAAAATTGTTTAATTTGGGAAAATTATGATGAAGAAATAGGTTAAAAACATTACCTAGGTTGAACTCGACGCAAACCTTTTTTGCTTTTATTTTCGATCTTTTGAAGGGCTATTTCCAGTGAACGCTGTAAAACTGTGAATAGAAAAGAATATGTTAGAATAGAATAACTTTTATTTCCAAGGCTCATGTTAAATGACATATAAGTCACAATAATAATGAGATCAACTATCACATAAAAGTGATAAAAATATATTGAAACTTGAAAATTAACTGACAAAATAACAAAGTCACTGATAAACTTAATCATTATATTAACTAAATTTAACTATAAAACATCATATTTAACCTAATAATACTAATACGTGTATACGCAATAACTGTATTATTGTATCTTTTTTAAAGATTTCTTTCAAATTATACAAAAAGATAAACCAGCTTATCTAGAAATACCATGTATCATTAAACATTTGAAAGATTAATGTAGTGTGGGCAATCGAAAAGAAGCAACACTTTCCATCTGCTTAAGCCTTTAAACAGTAAGATTAAGGATCTGAAAATGCAGAAAAACGATCTGTTCAAAACAAGAGGAATCCACCGGTAGTGATTTACAGAAGCTTTATACAGTAATATTTTGGCATTATGCATAAGTACATCATCAGGACTCAAGTAAAAATATGGTTCCACGTAATGTGGAGGTCGAGAAAAATTTTCGGTCAATGAATAAACAACAGACGTTTGCAGTGTCGACTGACTTGGACTCAGATATGATCTCCAGGCAGTTGACGAAGCAAATGAAAATCACGATTATAAACACAAATGGAAATAAAGTACCATAATACTAACAGACACTGTAGACAGTATAACTTTTGGCAGAAAAATCTTGTTGTTTCTAGAGTATTGCTTAATCTACGCATTTTTGTTACCTTATTTCCAGTGGAGATTCACACCATGATGACAAAATTAGTGAGACTAGAATGTACGAAAGGCCAGGCGGCGAAAGATGCCATTAAAGGACATATGAGATGAACCTTTCAAAATTGAATGCTGAGTTAGATAAGTTAGATTATCTTTGGCAAAGGCCTTATGGAAAAAAAAACTAATTAGATGACCGATATTTCTAGATTAGCTGGTTTATCGTGTAGATATACTAACCATAGTATAAGGGCGACTTCAACCCCAAGTTTGACCAGAGCTGGGCATGAAGCATGTCATATTATGCGTGTTATATGACATGAAGAAGAATCCTCTATAGGAAGCTACTCGTATCGGCTAACAGAAGACAAGCAACTTGACATGATAACAATTTAGTTACTTCTGATACATATCATGCTTTATATGCACCAGCTCATGAAAAACATATAACGCACCAGCAATCGCAACAATGTTTTGGTATCATCTCAGATTGTTAACAACTCTAGTGTATTCTCGGCAAAGTCACCTGTTACAACATTATAACTGTGCTGTGCACTTACACTTACCAGATACTGTAATCATTTTAAAATATAGATGTTATGACTCTAAAATATAACAAATAGTAACATAAAAACACAAATGTACATTAATTAAGATTGATAACAAGTAACAAAAAGGTCAGATTTGTTTAGTTCAGTATCAACTATACATCTTGAAAGTCTTCATTTTGTTAGGGCATAATGTACATTCTCGTTTGGATCAATCAATGACGAATGATTCTCAGACTAATAATGCATAGTGGCATAATATAATATAGCACATGTCTCTCAGGGTAATAGTGCATCTAAAAACATTTGATCTGAATAACACCGAGGCGAAGATGATGTGTTATATTAGTTCTCGGGATGTTAACTACAAAATCACGTCTTGCATATTATCATGCACTATTACCCGTAGAGTCATGATCTATTTTTATGCTCCCCGAAAAATTTCGGGGGAGCATATAGTCGTCGGGTTGTCCGTCCGTCCGTCAGTCCGTCAGTCCGTACGTACGTACGTCCCGAATTCGTGTCCGGCCCATAACTTTGTTATTTGAAGTCGGATTTTAAAACTATTTCACAGAAATGATCACCATATTGAGACGACGTGTCGCGCGCAACATTTGGGTCGCTACCTTGAAGGTCAAGGTCACAGCATGACCTTGCAGCAAAATCGTGTCCGGTCCATAACTTCATTATTTGAAGTCGGATTTTAAAACTATTTCACAGAAATGATCACCATATTGAGACGATGTGTCGCGCGCAACATTTGGGTTGCTACCTTGAAGGTCAAGGTCACAGCATGACCTTGCAGCAAAATCGTGTCCGGTCCATAACTTCATTATTTGAAGTCGGATTTTAAAAATATTTCACAGAAATGATCACCATATTGAGACGATGTGTCGCGCGCAACATTTGGGTCGCTACCTTGAAGGTCAAGGTCACAGCATGACCTTGCAGCAAAATCGTGTCCGGCCCATTACTTTGTTATTTGAAGTCGGATTTTAAAACTATTTCACAGAAATGATCACCATATTGAGACGATGTGTCGCGCGCAACATTTGGGTTGCTACCTTGAAGGTCAAGGTCACAGCATGACCTTGCAGCAAAAGTGTGTCCGGTCCATTACTTTGTTATTTGAAGTCGGATTTTAAAAATATTTCACAGAAATGATCACCATATTGAGACGATGTGTCGCGTGCAACATCTGGGTTGCTTCCTTGAAGGTCAAGGTCACAGCATGACCTTGCAGCAAAATCGTGTCCGGTCCATAACTTCATTATTTGAAGTCGGATTTTAAAAATATTTCACAGAAATGATCACCATATTGAGACGATGTGTCGCGCGCAACATTTGGGTAGCTACCTTGAAGGTCAAGGTCACAGCATGACCTTGCAGCAAAATCGTGTCCGGCCCATTACTTTGTTATTTGAAGTCGGATTTTAAAACTTTTTCACAGAAATGATCACCATATTGAGACGATGTGTCGCGCGCAACATTTTGGTTGCTACCTTGAAGGTCAAGGTCACAGCATGACCTTGCAGCAAAATCGTGTCTGGTCCATAACTTTGTAATTTGAAGTCGGATTTTAAAAATATTTCACAGAAATGATCACCATATTGAGACGCAGGGTCCGGAACATTTGGGTCTCCACCTTGAAGGTCAAGGTCACAGCATGACCTTGAAGAGAAAAGCGTGTCCGGCCCATAACTTTGTTACTGGAAGTCCGATTTAACAACTATTTCACAGAGATGATCACCATATTGAATCGACGTGCCGCATGCAACATTTGGGTCCCTACCTTGAAGGTCAAGGTCATGTCATGACCTTGCAGCAAAATCATGTCCGGCGCATATTTGAAGTTATTTGAAGTCGCATTTTACAACTATTTCACAAAAATGATCACAATATTGAGACAATGTGTTGTGCACTATATTTGGGTTGTTTTTACACTTTGAACTTTGTCTGTGACATAACTCTGACACAACAAGAGGTATACCTTCCTGTGTCCAAAACATAATCGGGGAGCATCACCCGGTTCAACCGGCTCTTGTTTTATTATACCTTACAATTTTAATATTGTAAACATTTTGATATAGCAGAACGATTACGTGAGCAGAGTGGACAGGGGAGGGAACTAGAACGCGAAGATTACGTTTCTTTAAAACTATATCGATTACTTGCTGGGGAATATTGCAAAAAGAAATTGACCGAGTGATATTAATATTTATAAGATGATAAACCGGAATAAATACATCTGACGTCACTTAAGGCTATGCACCATAAACAATAATGAAAAATTGTGTGGTCTTGATTCTATTGTGTTTATCAGCAGTAAACTCCTAAAATAAAGTCTGACATTTCTGCAGTCGTTTGATCTTTTATGCTGTGTAACCATAGGAACGGTAGTACGCGGACGGCTGCGATAAGTCTATTTTAAAGCTTAATCCAATTGGTATGAGGTTCTTTTTTAGGGGAGGGGCCACATAATCAGACAATTTTGCTAGAGATATTTCAAAAAAATCTTTGAAAAAATAATATTGTATTTATGCTACTCTTAATCTGACTTGAGTTAAAAGTCTTGCAATTTTTGTTTGTTTGTTTGTTTTTCTTCTTTTTTGTTTGCTATTTTGCCTCAATTAATTTTATTTTTAGTTTCAAGTTTTCTTATTCAGTATAGGCAAATACAAGGAAACGGACCGTTTAAAAACATTTTCTTCTACGATACATCAGGTATTGAGGAACAAAATGGACCTACTATCCAAGATATAGAAGATGCCTTAAGTGGTGGCAAAAAACCTGGTGTAAAGGTAAATACAAATTTGTATAATTATTATTAATATTTGTTTTGGAAACACGATAATCGCAAACGGCTATAAAGTAAAGAAATACACCGAGACTCAATAATACTGTAAGTAGTCGGTTAGACTAGTGACATTATCATCAGAATGTCCGAAATAAGTAGCTTTCTATTTTTAAACTATAACAAACCAATTATTGATTTGGCACTTGTCCGTTTAACAGTGCAAGCTTAAGATACGTAGTAGTCAGGACACGACCTAGTATATAATGTTTTATTGTTTGATTTTTGTTTGTTTCTTTTTTGTTTTTTTTCTTTTTGCTGCAACATAAATAAGCTCTCGAATATGTAAAACTTGAAACTTTTTGAAACAATAATTACAACTAATATTTTAGTTTGTAGCACAAGAAAAATCAAAAGACAATGAGAAAAAAAAGGAACTTGAAATACATTGTATAGAGAAAAAAAAGGAACTTGAAATACATTGTATAATATACGTACTTGATGCAGAAAGTGTCAAACATGGATTAAGGATGTCTACTAGAAAAAAACTAGAAGATATTGTTAAGGCAGTAAGAGAAGGTAAAGTTTAATTTTGATAAAAATATTTTATGGTTAAGTAACGTTTTTGCTCGGAATCAAAAGGTACTTGTTTATTTTTTTCTATTCCTTTTAAACTTACAATGCTAAGATAGGATACTGTGATGAATAAAATATTGAAGTCTATTTATTCTATAATATGAATTGTTATATTTAATATATAAAATAAGTGATTAGAAAAGAAAAGACCAGTACCATTGAATTACCGTATTTATTTTGAAAAGCAATGTATACAAGCCAGGATTCATTTACATCAGTTGTTTCAATTATACATACCTTTTGCAATATTGATATAAACAAAATGTGTTTATCGTTGGTTAGTTTGCATTAATTAACAACAGCATAGGTCTAATTTTTTTTTAATTTTAGAACCAACACGGGTCGTGTTTCTGACAAAAATCGACAACATAAGCAGTGACGTATATAAAGATAACAAAAAAATGTTCTCCTGTGATAAAGTAAAGAATTTGGTGGCGCAGACAGCAGGATTGATGTCAATAGATGAAGGGTTGATTTATCCAATAAGAAATTACGTTAATGAGCAAGACCTAAGCCTGGAGATAAATATACCATTGTTACTTGCATTAAAGAAGGTTGTCGGGTTTGCAAGCGATTGCCGAATGGGAAAGACATATGACAATATTTCTTAAAGGTCGAAAAAAATTGAAGACTAAGACATGTATGTCGTTCAAAGGTAAAAATGCCAACAATGACAGTTATCGTGAAAAAAGAGTTTAAAATGATTATATGTTTATAAGATTATACAAGGCTCCAGCTTTTTTATGTTTAAATAGTAATCATATGAGCATAGGAAACGAAATTTAGCTTCCTCGTAATACATCACAAGCATATTCTGATGACCTAATGTATAAGGTGATCAACAGGTGACCTTAGCATACCCATGATTTAAAGTGACATTATGCTCATATTTTCATTGTCAAGTTGAGCTGAATTTACTTTATATTTCATATGATTTGCTGTTGAAATGATGTTTGACCAACAGATTATATTGGAAAATGTTTAGGATAAATTTAAAATCTGCCTAAAATATAAAAATACTGCCCCACTCTTTTTATAAATTGAATGTTACAGGTAAATGATATTTACTGCAATTTCGTTTGAATCTGGTGGTTATTTATTGTTTATGCGAAGTAAATCATTAAAGTAAAAGGAATTAAGGCAAAATGAAAATTTATTTTGACTCTCACCTGTTCACTCACTATATACCTTTAGATGGGCATAATGTCACTTTAATATAAAAACTATTGTCATGAAATACGTACATGCTGAAGATCATTAGAAGCTTAACAGCTGTCACAGGGATAACACATTAAGCAAAATCGTTAAGATATATGCGCCACCCCTAGAACTATATATTAAACTCGTTCGCATTTTAAAACACTCATCTAAGCTGTAACTTCATAAATCTTACAACTTATTAAAACATTTAAAAATTATTGAACGAAATATATGTTAAACCATTACCATTAAAGGACACGAATTACCTATTTAGCTTCCTCAAAATTACAAATGCATATAGTAACTCACAGTATACACAGGTGTAATTCAGAAGTAACTACAAATGTTTGTGTTGAATTTATTAAGCCTAACTTTTTTCAAATACGTGATCGTATAAAGACATAACAAAATTAGTTTTAATCATTCTCAAAAGTAGGTTTACAGAAAGTGAACTTTCCTTTTCATACACATGATATTCTTGACAATCGACTTCATGAAATAACCCAGCAATCCTACAATGCTTTTAGAAATTTTTAATCAATATTATCAACATCTATCGCCATACATTTTCATTTTAACGCATCAAAACATTTATTGATGAGCATACATGACAAGTATGTAAATTGTTTTTAATGAAGTTGACCAAGACCGATTGATTTTTCATACTAACCGATTGCTTGTCACACATTTTAAATAGCTAGCTAGCAGTAAATACCTGAATACCCTTAAATTAGGTGCATGCAAGTCATTTAACTAGGGCTGCAACAGGGGTGACGAATTTCACAATCTGCAGATTGTCTTCTGAGATGAACATTTTAGCAAATTGCATAGGAAATCCTTTTACTGATTGATAAAACGACAACACATTGTCAGACATTTGACTTATAATGCTGCTGCATAGACCCTCCACAATGCCTTGTTGAAAGAAATATTTAAAGATAGTCCCTTTTTGGGTATAGGATGTATAAGGCAAGCACGAAATTGTCACATACTTCACATTTAGCGTTCAAAACTCGCGGCCTTGAGCAGACAAGCCGTGGAATGATAAAACACATAACCTTATGGTGAACAAATGAACAAAGTTCATTCAGTTATTAAAAAAGATTTAGAGTTGAAGTTGATGTTTGACCACAAATGATGACATTGACCATGAGACGGCACAGCAATGGTTTAAGTTTTTCACATCGTTCTGTTTATGTAAACATTTGAACCAAGTTTGAAGAAACCCTTTAAAGAGCGGACACGAAATTGTCTGAGGAAAGATACGCGAGATGTCGATTACCGAGTTAACGAGTTGCACGAAGAACACGGGCCTAGCCGAAAGCTTGATATAACGAAACCCAGTAGACGTAGACCTACAGTTTGAGTGCGGAATATTTTTAAACTTTTAGCATTCTTAATAACGAACTCTAAATAGGTAATGAAAATTTACTTTTGACAACATCTCCCAGACTGAAATACAGCAGTTCATACATAATTATTATACGTTACAATTGCTCATACAACACTTATAATGTAGTGTTGTGTTACTAGTATATCAATTATACGGGTTTAATGAGCAATTTAAATGTTATCTTAACTGCTGTATTTCAATCTTGGTATGATGTCAAAAGTCAGTTTCCATTACTTGTTTAGCTTTCGTCATTAAGAATGTTCTAACATTTGTGAACTAAAAGATATTGTCATTATTAGTGAGGAAACATACATGAATTCATACGATAATGTCAGGTTTAAGCTCATAAAGACACACAATTAAAGCATTAAGTTACGCTCTACGTGTGTCCGTTTTACTATTATCTCAATGTATGAAAAGGATATACCGTTAAATATCATTTGGAACTGGCGTTTAAGGACCTTTAGGTTAATGATATCAACATAACCTAGTTGTTGCGGACTGCCCCATCTCTATTATGTCTCAATTGTTGCGAAATGTCCGACCCCTAATACGACTCATTATGAAGCGATGCATTATCCTCTTACAGGATGACGTCCGTACGGATGGCAATGGCTTTTTGGTTGACCCCTTTTCATTATGCTAACTCACTGACCCGCCCTAATGACCTACCCCTGCAATCCCGGATTATGCCATGCTTATGCGATGAGTTATGTCTTATTGACACAGTTATGTAAGAATCACGTGGTACGCAGCAAGGGCAGCTGGTAGTCTGTTCAACTGTGCTACCTTTATTACTATCATGACCATATTGTCTCATTTTCGTCATCGTAGTATTGGTTTTCATCATTCTGTTATTGAAGCAATAAATGTCGCTTTCCATATTCACTGCTGCAGTGACAAATCTTCATCAAAACAAAAATAAGTCATTTTGCATACCCTTTTTATAAAATGATTTCCAGTGTTAAATTGAAATATGGTCATACTAAGCGTAAATAGTATTGGTGTCTGGCGTTTAAAAACCTATAAGTCAATGATATCAATAATATGTACTTTACAACGATTTATTAAAAATATAATGTATTCTATATGTAAGGGCCTATAGTTATGTGGTGAATTGTTATATTGAAAAATGGTATTTTATTTTGTTTCGTACTTTTTCGTTTTATCGACATATTGTTGAAAATTACTTTTGCTTCACAAGGAAATGTGTTGGCATCTAATTATCAAAATATGGTTTAACATTATTGTATTGTTTGTAAAAGAATATCGCTGATGATCTTTTAGGTTAATTGGAAGTATTGTGCAGCTGAACAATTGAATTTTAGGTTAAATGTACATATTTACTAGCTGCATTGTTTATAGTCTGATTCTAAGCTTGTAAAAATATTATGTGAAATAGGCAAAAACAAAATGATTTCTACATGATTTGAAAACGGATGTACTTTTGTGCGATTGAGAAAGTTTCATATGTAGTTTTCAGCTGGGGTAGCATTGTCCATTTCCCCTCTATACAAGTGTTTCTGTTTTAGGTTGTTCATCATCTAAGTTGGCGCATTTTGATTGACAAAAATCTTTGCCTTTGTCAGGGAGATATCTTTCTAAAAATGAAATAATTTTGTCGACACAGAACTTTTCCTGTGAATTATTTTGGTCCTCGTACCAATCTATCACCGTTCCTAAGTCTTTGTAATTTTTTCCATCTATATTCGCTGTTACTTTTTCTGTATAATCCTCAATTCTGGCATCATTTGACTTGCAGTGCACGGATATGAATCCAATCCGTCGGTTATCAATAGCTGGAAAATAAATATATAATAACATATACAATCAAACGAAAGCAAAGAAAAAACAAGAAATATCTTTAAAAAAGATAATCGGCGTAAATTCAGTGCAAAATGTCTCATAGCTTTAGAATATTTTCAAAATTAATGATATTTATACTTTATAACAATATAAATGTCTAAATTGAAATATATTTGGTGGTTACTAGTATAATCTATGACAGTTGTCTAAACTTAGCTGAAACATGTATGCTCCTATAATGTCAACAAATTAGTCATGTTATTATAGATGCTAGAAGCTTTTTTGTCACCGTGACTTTTGACTACTGGTTTCAAAGTCAATACCAGATAATAACCAATCACACTACCAAATTTAGAGACTGCAAAGGCCACAATCAGCTGACAACTTGAATTTTATTGTTAAATAATATTAACTTATATGTATCTGACCTTCATTTTGTAAAAGCACTTCTGTGCATAAAATGCTGCAATTATTAGGTCATGATAATAACACCAAAATCTTTTGTTGTTTATATCTTTTATTTATGAAAGAATACAAACTGTAATAAACAATCAATGGAACATATCAACTCTGAACTATACTATTTATAATGCCTTCTTATCTATCTGGCAATGAAAATGAATAATTGAAGACTTAAATCAAAAGTTAAACATAACCTTACTAGTAAAAGTTATACTTAATGTATTTTATAAAAAAAGGATTTCTATTTAAAATTGCACAGCTTGACTAGTATTTTGTATATACTAGGGGTATGAGGTGGAGGTACTAGTTAAGCCTACTGGCATGGCTACGTGTCGTACACCTACACAGGTTATATTTTACAATGTACTTTAAATGTGGAATGTAAAATATAAATGTTGTTCCATATATACAGAAATATATCTATTTATCTTATAATAGGTACTAAACTCAATTTTGTATAACCCATCAATGACACTGATTATCAAGTGAGACAGTTTCAGATTGAGGTAGTCAATTGGGGTGTATTTCGGTAAATTTACCTACCGGTGTAAACAAACGCCGAATAACTATGAATAAATTAATTTGTTATTATTACGCACAAAAAATAATACTTAAAGTTTTGCGATTCTTTATGATAATGTTGCATTTTAAATATATTAATTTTTCGCAATTCATATCAGCTCTGGAGAATCTTTTTGTTGATCAAAAATATCGTTCATTTTCATAGAAAACAGAAAAGCTACGGCAAATAAAGTACGAGTGAGTAGTAATCGAATGTTTAAGTAAAGGCTGAAAAACAAAAAGTTGGGTTTGTTGTTAATATTATCAACAAAATAAATTGTACATGAAATCATATGTACTGTATATTTTTGTATTTTGATATATCTTTGTTTTGGTCATAACGTTGTGATATTTAGTTTACGATTGTATAAATATTTTTAATACAACTTTATTCTTAGAGACAAGTAAACTAAAGATTACGAATTTGTCCTTAAATTTCATAACAGCCAGTCTTTCCACCAATGAAAAACACCCTCTTTTAGCTGAAGATTTTGTAACTAACAATTTCATTTGTTAAAAATCTAGATCAAAATCCATTTTAATACAGCTACGCCGAATAAAGGCAACAAAATCGATTATAGAATACAGACAATTCCATTTATTAAACAAACAGGTTATATTATTTTCCGTGTCTTTCAACTACATTTGTGGATGGAATGAAACCCATCGTTCAGCGGATGTTTGCCAGGACAAAAGTGATAACTTGGATAGGGAAAAGGAATATACAACATGAAAGTGTGCACTTTTTTGTTTTTGTTCACAAACGATTCGTTGTTAAGCAAAACCTCTAATTGAAATAAATTTAGTAAAGCAGCCATAAAAATATTTCGCATTGGACGTTGTCAACAAAAATGAGAGGTACTGATGATAATTTGTTTATTTGTTTGTTTGTTTGTTTGTTCGGTTGATTGGTTGGTAAGTTGGTTGGTTTTACTGCGCACAAACACAGTACGAGTATATGTCAAAAGCTCCGAAACAGAAAAGATGATTTTGGCTTGTCTTGGGTCTTACAAACTTCTAAGCAAATCCTGTGATGAAGTTGGAGCTATACTGTAGGCCTCCAGTTATTCAAACCCGTTTATTCACCTCTTGATAAACGGTGGCTGCCTTATTATGCATCAACCATTACTAATGATAAACTGTTACTCGAATACTTAGTTCTAGCGAAATGTAATCGTAATGTTTTTGGTGTAATCAGTAATCGTAGATATTAAATAACAATAACAAATAGATCTAAATCGATATCGAAATCTGAATTTGAATGGTGTAACTTCAATGTATTGGATAAGAAGGGTAAGAGGAAACCAACCCCATCACTGGCTCTGGAACATGCCAAACCGATGGAGATATTAAACTCCATTAAGCAGGTGGGGAATTATAAGCACTTACAAGAAATTTACCTTTTACACAACTCAGTGCGTAACAAATATTTGAATCATATCTGGTGTCAAGTAGACATACTACAATTATTGGCTCATATTCATCTGCTATGTAAGAGATTTCTTCGCATACAGTCAACTCTATGTTTGTTTTATTCATTTTCTTTTTCAAACGTGAAATAACCTTTCCGGTCAATGGTGACTTTGCCGTGTCGTGGATATAAGCTCGTATTATTTTATCTATAAAGTTGAAGATATTTTCCCTTAAACAAATAGGTTTTTCTGTTAAAAAGATTTTATTTTCAAGATTCAATTTTAAATTGAATTAAGCATTTTACTAGCTATATTAACATTTTTACGTTCTGTAAGATTAAGATTTTAAAATATGTAAAAAGGAAATATTACATCAAGCATCGAATTTATAGTAACTTAGAAATGACTGAAAGTCAAAGTCCAAATAAATATTTGAGTACAGGTAAGTACATTCTGTCAGAAAATTATACCTTAATTTAATGATTACTTTAGTGAGTACAAAAGTCTATTACAAATAATGAATTGACGACAATCGAAATATTACCTTTTTCCACGTAGCCAAATCATTACTCTTTCTTTTATATGTAAAAGATACAGATTACAAAATGTTAATCTCTTACCTGCAGTCCTGACACAAATCTGTAAAGAAAAATGCGCATTTGTTAAAGGGTATAAATCAATATCTTATGATATTTTTGTTAAAAATGTATCAACAGCAAAATTAAATTGGTTCCACTATTACATGGTTGATTATGTAATAGAATGTGTCATAGAATTTAACACACATGAATATTGTACGTAAACAGAATAAAATGTTCCGGAACGAAATATTATTTGCTATTTTAAATAGGGTTTTACCCGTTTAGCAATGATTTTGTGCAAGCGCCATTCGCTTTTAAGGCAATTATCTACCATGTTTATTTCATACACATATATATGGACATTTTATGAAAACTGATGAAATTATTGTTACTTACATCATTTGTGTATATGAATTCCTCAAACCGTTTTAAATACTCTAAATACTCGATGTCGGTACTGGTCCCTGGCTTTTCTAAATCCGTGAGTTTCAAAGATCGAAGTAGACATTTCACTTTCCAGTAATAAACATTCTTCTCAGAAGATGTCTTTTTTTCCTTTACAATAAATGGCATGATTTCTTTTGTGAACCTAATTTCAAGACGAACGGCTTTACTTATTGCTTTACATAAAAGCGTTTCTTCATTTTCAGTATTTGCCGCTGTTTGTTGAGTTGAAGTGTCTTTATTTAGTGCCTCACTTTTTCTTCCTAGTTTTGAAAGAAGGTACAATTTATGATAATGACTTTTTGAAAGGTGTTCAACTACTTTTTTATCAATTTCATTACTACTAGAATATTTTGTAAACTCCGTTATCTTTTCTTCTTTGTGAAGCTCACATTTACATTCATTTACACAGTCCTCACATATAACTTTGTTGTGATGTTCATGCTCACGACAAAGAACAGCTTTTATTAACGTTTTATTATGTTCATTGCACTTAGCAAGATCAATCTCCGATTCTTTAAAAAAAAATTTTAACATCTTCTTGCCGCATTTAACACTTACCTAAAGTAGTGTCTAAATTATTTGTACTTTGTAACGTACGTACATGTAAAGCTGAAGATTAGATAGTATACTACATATGTTAAATAAACTGATGTTAATGAACGCGATAAGGTTTACTTTACAACTTTTCAGTTGTAAATAAAACAAATAAATGTATATCATTAACAAGCATTTGTAACAGAGTTACCAACGTCCCCCGCCTCGGGGAAGTTTTATATGAAGCATAAATGTGTGCTATTTCAAAAGATTGAGGTATGGATTTCAGGACTTTCAGTCCACATTTATGATCAATGCCTATTACTATATCCCCCTCTTTTCGAAAAGGCGGGGGACAAAAAAGACATAACATGATTGAGTATTAATATTGCTGGAACGGATAAACGATTCGATTATTACATTCTGTATTGTCCTCACCTTAAAAAAAATATTGAGATATGGGAAAGGTTTAATCCGCCTGTCCGTCCGCTTTATCGCCCTTTCGTCCCACATTATTATTTTGAACATCTGAACTTAACTTGCTATTTACCTAAGGCAATGACTTTAAACTTAAAGTTAAAATAGGTAGCAACAAGGAAAAGTGCAGTGACTACGAACCGTAGTTCTCTATATATATTTAGTACATCAGTAGTAAACATCTATAATCTAAGAAACGTGCATAATTATGTTTAAAACCACACCACAATTCTGTTAGCTCCTTTTGATTGATCATTTTTGTTGGTTGCTTCCAGAATCCTTATTTAACTATGGTGGCTGATTAGTGCCATTCGTGTTTTCGCCCCTTGACACCGCCAAGCGGAAAGTCTAGATTAACAAATAAATATGGCGGGGTGTTAAGCGAAAACACGCTAATGAGCTAGGGCGCGGGGCGAAATTTAATAAATTAACTTCTTCGAAATTAAAGAAGTTAAAATGACGGGGGCACGGAGCGAAAACACGCTATTTTGGGCCCGCGCTAATAAGCGTGTTTTCGATCCCCGCCCAGCCATTTTTACTTGTTTATTATCGACTTTTCGCTTGGCGGGGTTGCAGGACGAAAACACGCTAATTAGCAGGGCGCGCGGCGAAGTTGTATAAAAGTTTTATAAAACTTCGCCTCGAGCCCCCGCTACTGAGTAATTAGCGTGTTTTCGTCCCGCGACCCCGCCGTTTTATTTCTTAAATCTCGCTCCGCGCCTCCGCGGGAACGATGTTTTATTTATTTAACTTTGCCCTGCGCCCTCGCTTATAAGCGTGTTTTCGCTGCGCGCCACCGCCATTTTAACTTGTTAATTTTCGACTTTTCGCTTGGCGGGGTCGCGGGGCGACAACACGAATGTCACAAATCAGCCACCATACTTAATTGCTATTTAATTACATACCCACTCTTTTTTTTCTCATGCGACTTACCAGTGATAAGCAGGATTTATTTCCTTCACAATTCGATTTTGTTCCACCCATTGTATTTTCGTTTACGACATACGCATTCCTATACCTTAGGACCACATACCATTTTCATAGAAAAAAACACGGACGTGATATGAACTTGTCATGACACGAACTTGTCATGTTGAACATGCCATGACAACCGCTGTTTGAACACATCGGCGGGTTTCTCTTCATTTAAAATGTCACCACTGTCATGTTTGAATGTAGAAATCCGCTTAAGTCGGTGCTAAGCTGGAGATGAACGGTAGCATGAAATTGCCATTGCTGCATATGACCAGGTTTTTGTCAATTCGAGCCTGCAACATATTTAACATTGCCGTTTTGTGTGTTCTTTGTTGATACTTTTTTCTCTATTTTAGTTTAACGACAAACATATTTTACTTGGAATTGCAATAAATTAATCCAACCACGCCTTAGCAGCGCTTTATGAAATAGTGTTTCTTGGAGCTTTAATTGATAAGACACTACGTACTATCAATAATGTATAATGTCTTAACATAAACTTGTTCCTCTTTGGCAATTGTGTATCAAATATTAAGTGAAAGTAAACACTTTTCTATTTTATAAAGTGTTTAGGATAGTAACCACTATCTTCTGCTGAGAGAACGTGTGGCCATACACACGTTTACTCTAGTGAAAGCATATTCCTGAGCCATTTACTAAATTTGAGTCAAAGCTGATACGATACAGAAAATAAAAGTTACCTTTTACGAAGCCGTTAGCAAAAAGAAAAAAATACAATTTGATTACCGTTATGTTGTAAAATGTATGACAATGCTATAACAATGGCTTTCGCTTCTGCAGTAAATATTGATATATTATCAGGTAGTCGTAGTGATTCTTAAAGATAGCCTAATTTGCAACCATTCGTTGAGGAGTCCGTGTAAAATTTGATACAATCTTCATGTTCTTCTTTGAATTAAAAAAAATGTTCTTTTGAAACCTTAGAGATAATCGGAGAAATAACTTTTTCGATATATTAAACAATATGTTATGGGTCTATTTAAAGTTATTATAAAAGATATTTAAACCGAAGACCTAATTGTAAAAAATTGTCGCTCAAATTTAGTTTCTAGCAGGATTGTTATTGATAATACTCTAGCTGCATATTAAAGAGAATATCTTCAACGTATATTCAAGCTTTAGCATTAAATGACGATGTTCTTAATTCGCCTTATGCTACACGAAGGCCTTGATGATGTATAGTATCGAGTTTTTGTAAAAAAAAATATTGCCGAACCCAAAAACTATAGAACCGTTACTTATTCTTGAACCTATTTCTGGTACTTAAACCTGTGTACAATACTTAAATTGGGTACGCAAATATTCAATAACGGGATGGCCAAACATAATATCTTGGAACCCAGTAATTGCCCGAGATCTCACAATCTGGCCGATAAATAATGAAGAATTTTATGCTAGGGAGCTATGGAGTTTTTGTAAAATTAATGTAATTGAGAGAATTTGATTAAAATTCTGTAGGGCAATACCCTCATGAGAAACAAACTACTAGCAATATGACTATTTATGGTGAGTTATGCAGGTGTCCGTTGTTTCTTTAATTGATCTTATTTGATAAAGAAATAAAGAATTTTCATTATTATGGCGATTCGATTTATTAACTTTTTCTGCTTGCCATTTTACAATAAGAATGATGTCATAGTAAGTGGTACTGCCACACCTAATTAGAAAATTACAAATGACTGTAGGCTTGAGCGATCAATAACAAAGCTTCTGTGCGATGGACTGTTATGGAAAGCCATGGCTGTCTGACGATGTTCTTTTTCAATTTATGTAACCATTTGGATAATATATAAGTTCACTTCGACTATAACTGGATTGAAAACACCTTCTTATTTAACCGGAATCCATTATATTAATCCACAGTACAATATATGAAACTATACCGTCAGTATAAGAAACCGAAGTAGCAATATATAAGTTTAATTGTGTCAATATATGATTCCAATCCTTCAATACATGGTACCAAAGTAGCAATGTATGGAACCAGGTGTCCTTATATGAAACCGAATTATCAATATATTAATTCATTTTTACAATATAAAAAAACATTTTATCAATGTATGGAACCGAAGTATCAATATATAAGTTGATTATCACATTATGTGATACCAGATCTTCAATATATGGATCCAAGTAAGTCATATATGGAACCAGATGCCCTTATATGAAACCGAATTATCAATATATCAATTCATTTTTACAATATATGAAACCATTTTATCAATGTATGGAACAGAATTTTCAATACATAAGTTGATTATCACATTATATGATACCAATTATTCAATATATGGAACTAAAGTAGCAATGTATGGAACCAGGTGTCCTTATATGAAACCGAATTATCAAAATATTAATTCATTTTTACAATATATGAAACCATTTCATCCATGTTTTGAACCAAAGTATCAACATATAAGTTGATTATCACATTATATGATACCAGGTCTTCAATATATGGTACCAAAGTAGCAATGTATGGAACCAGGTGTCCTTATATGAAACCGAATTATCAAGCTATTAATTCATTTTTACAATATAGGAAACCATTTTATCAATGTATGGAGCCGAAGTATCAATATATAAGTTGATTATCACATTATGTGATACCAGATCTTCAATATATGGATCCAAGTAAGTCATATATGGAACCAGATGCCCTTATATGAAACCGAATTATCAATATATTAATACATTTTTACAATATATGAAACCATTTTATCAATGTATGGAGCCGAAGTATCAATACATAAGTTGATTATCACATTATAATTATGATACCAATTATTCAATATATGGAACTGTATAGCCTAATGTGACGTCATGGTGCTTTTTCAATCTATTATCCTGGACATTCATTTTTTTTTATTTGTTGTAATATTTCATAGGGGCTCTATATATACTTGAGAAAACGTAATGTTCTAGTTCTCTCCGCTGGACGCTCTTCTCATGTAAACCAAAATAGTGACTCGGTTTATTATAAAAAACACATGTCTATCAGGGTAATAGTGGATATAAGCAACCCGAGAACTGAATAAGCACACGCAACAGGCCTCAGACCACAATTAATTTCACTATATGTTCTATATAAACATTAAACCCTGTGGCAATTTTACTAACTCTCCAATTAAATCAGAGTCACTTGTGCTTACAGTATCATCCAAGATTAATAATTCTAGCTATAGCAAACTAGGGGTCATGCATCATATTTTCACAGCATTTCAGTCCAAAAATACATCAGTCTGACAGTTTTCAGTAATTAGCCGGAACTATGTGAGTTCTATCATGTAGAAAAACACTAAAAAATACTTACTCACATAAAATCTGGATCAAAACTGGCATTTACCAACTATTTGAAATGAATTTTGTCAGAAAATGTCCTTTTTCTATCTCTTTCATTCAATTATTCATTTATATCTGGCATTAAACACAGGCACTCTTTCATGCGGATTTACTTCTTTATTGTGGTCAACGAAAGGCAAATAACTGTGGACTGATTCCTATTTACTCAAAAATGTTCATTTGATCTTAATAAAATT